TTTCTTTATTTCTTTATTTCTTTATTTCTTTATTTCTTTATTTCTTTATTAGCTTTACAGAATTTTTTTTGGTTTTACTAATAAAAAAACAAATAAATAAAAATCAAAAACAAACCAAAAAGTAAAAGAGAGAGAGTTCTAGTTCTGTCAGCGGTCAAATTTCAAGATTGGCATGGCTAAAGGCGAGAGTTTTGTCTTCATTTGAGTGTGGAGGCACATCTATTTCTAGTCACGTTCATGCCTTCATCAAAACCACAAAATAATAATCTCTTGGCTGATCAAAGTATCCAGTAGTTTCAATTAAGTGTATATCCAGCATCTCATTTCCTTGGAACAATTTTATGCTTATTTTCCAATTAAAGTTAAAAAAAGGTTTGAATTGAAATCTAGTGTACTACCGCACAAGGTATTACCGCATTTTTGTACCTCAAAAAAAAGAAAAAAACAAGACGAAAAAAGGAAATTGAACAATTCATTCATTCTCTGCAATTCTTTTTAACTTTGAAAAAAATAAAAACAAATTTAAAACAAAATTGATTTAATATAACAAGTCAGCTGAGAGCTGAATCAGTATGAAATCAATAACAGTATTTAGTCAAACATTTTAAACTATTGGATTGACAGTTCTCAAAAACATATATCTTTTTTTGTTTATTTTGTTCATTATTTGTTTCCTTTGGTGTTTGCTTATGTTTTCTTCTGTTGAAATTACGATTAGAGAGATTAAGGATCCGTGTACGACAAACAAAAAACTCTTCAATAAGATAAAATCAAGGAAGGCGGAGACAGCTTGCGAGAATTACATTTTCATTGTCAACTGAATTTTTTGGTGTGTGGGATAGGGAGGGGAGGGAAGGACTGCAGCCTCCCCACCCCCCCCCCTCCCTCCCTCCGCTTTAAAAACTGTTCCGCCGTCCCTGAAAATTAAGCAAAGAATATTCTTTAAAATGGTAAATAAATCAAATAGTGTAATTGTGATTGGTGAGGTTGGTAGGGAGGTTCGAAGAGGCAAAGTGAAATGCAGAGAAACGATGAAAACGTGGTAATGCTTATATAATTCGTCTATCATTTTTTAGTTATTTTCTGTACTATATGAACTAAAGTTACAATGGTATGTATTGCCTAGTCTTTCTTGCCTGTGTTTCTTAAATGCTGGAATGAGAATATGCTGAGATTGATCCATTGTTTTATTGTGTCATTGATGGGAGGTTTTGGCGTGAGCTAAACTGAAACGTCTCAAAAAAGACTGGAGTCAAAAGGTGGACATATATCCGTGGATTGACAGAAAAAGAGCTCAAATTATCACCTTATTTCAAGTGTTTATTTTTTATTATTGTTTTTATTAAGCTGATCGATCCAAACAAACATCAGTCAGTAATAAAACCCTTAGACACCCTCTGGGCTGATCTAAGACTGCTTAAATAGCATAATATGCCTAAAAAATTAATAATGTCTTCTCTTAGGCGAACACAGAAGGAAAAATATCTTAAGAACACAGTTGATAAAATGACTGAAAAACTATTCCCGCAAAGCACAAGAGTGTTATTTTGTTGTGTTGTAATGTCTATTAACTATTTCAGTTCGATAGCCTAATATTCAGCGAAAATGTATGAAGTTCACGATAAACAAAGTTTTGAAATCAAATAAAAATGAATAAAAATTAAATCAAATAAGATGGGATATTTGTTATTTGTTGAGGATATAATTCAATTCAATTCAATTCAATTTTGTTTCGAAAGTAGTGATTGGCAGGGTATCAACTGAAACTGAATGAGCGCTTTGTAAAAAAAACTTAATAAAAAAGAGATTTTTGCGTATTTTTGCACACATGTAGCCGCAAAATTGTCCTAAGAGTATTTCTTAGTGATGGCTTTTGATCCACTTATCATAAAAATTTTCCCCAGCTTAAAAACTGTCGAATCCTTTAGCACTTCCTTCGTAGTTGTAATACGGCAAGAGATCAAAGTCTTAGGAACTTATTGTTCGCTAGACAAGCAAACAGGACACCGTATTTAAGTACACATATACAATAGGATTGATTCGATCTGCGCGGATTAGAAAAATAAATATTCTCATTGTACAAAGCATGGTAGGTAAATCTGTTTATTATGGTCCTATTGGGTTATCAAAATGAATACCCTTTAAGGTCATTTTACTTATGTCTCAGACTTAGCGAATTAGCCAATCAGTGAACATTTTGTTCGTAGTCCAATATTTCCTAGTTCCAGGTTTTCAGCTCGATAAACAACAGCGTTTAACTCTGAAATATAGAAAATAGACCACATCCGTGAAAACAATTACCAAATGTATTTTAGAAGTAGTTTATTGGTGGGAAATATTATTATTTTGACAAGAGATAGTACGAAATACTTGAAATTTTTGCTGCGACAAACAATCCACTGCGCACCTAGATTCCAATGGACTACTTCGACGATGCGGCGGGCATCTTGAATCGCAAGGCATCATGGACCGCCCAGGGGACAAAAAAGAACAAAAATGCTGAAATGAGGACCCCACGATATATTTGAGAAATTGCCTCAGTTGAGGAACTGTTCATGTATTTAAATTCATCTCTTGTCAGATTGTCTTGTAATGAACTGTAGATGTCAACAACGCCATTATTGTAATAAAGCTTTGTCTATTTGCACCCTGGATGACCCATAATAACTTGTGATTCAAGATGGCCGCCCCATCGTTAAAGTATTCCACATACATGGACCCTGTTGCACAAAACACCCCCAAGTGTTACAGGTGCACATAAAACCAGTAGCGTATAGAGGTTTGTTTCTGTTGGTTCCATGGGACCCCCCTTTGTAAGATTTTGTGATGCAATTCATATTCTTTACGGCCATTATGATGAAACTCGAGCACACCTTTGTGAATTCGACGGCACCTGCTTTTTTTGCGTGACGGCCATTTTGAAACCCCGCATTCTAAAATCCTGGATCTGTCGCTGAAACCACCCCCAAGTGTTACAGGTTTACACTTAAGAGCTTGCGTAAAATACGTATGTTGCATTAACTAATCGAACTGTAAAACAACCTCTGGGTTGATCAAAGTCAGAGTATGACTAAGTCAACTTGAAACAACCTCGATAATACACTGTCATTTTAGTCCCGTAATCATTGGATTAACTATTTTTGTTATTGTAAAAATGGTTTAATTTCAAGACGATTGTGGGCGCATGGTCGTTAAGTATCATTTAGCGCTCTTCTATAAACAATGGCGCCAAAACGCATGTCTGCTAATAAAAGGAAAATAGGAACAAAAAATAAAAGTCTGCCTGCTTGCGGGCTAAAAAGTAAAAGCTGAAGACATTTCTCACGCTGAGATTCAATCTTTCGATTTAATTCATATTCGAAAGTCAGAGGTATATCGAAGTATTTTTGGCAAAGTAAAAAAAAGAAACCCGCAGAAAAATCAGGAAGAATTCTTAGCAAAGGGGGAAATGAAAAGAGAATAGACTGGAGGAAACATTGAAGGAAAAAGAGGAAGGAAGGAAAGTAGAGGAAAGGAAAGGAAAGGAAAGGAAAGGAAAGGAAAGCAAAGCAAAGGAACGAGAAAGGAGAAATAAGGAAAGAAAGTGGAGAACACGACTGTACAGAACACGACTGTACAGGAGACTAGAACACAGGAAAAGNAGGAAAGGAAAGGAAAGGAAAGGAAAGGAAAGGAAAGGAAAGGAAAGGAACGAGAAAGGAGAAATAAGGAAAGAAAGTGGAGAACACGACTGTACAGGAGACTAGAACACAGGAAAAGAAAGAGCCCTAAGAAATAAAAAAGACGGAAAAAGAAAGAATTGAAAGGAAATGGATATTTAATATCACTTGTCGCGCTATATTTTATCTAATACTTAACATTGATTCGACGCGCTAACATGTTAGACGACGACACTAACGAGTCTACAATTCTTTTTTGCCGGAAATTTAGTCTTCAAAGAAAAAAAGGAAGATTTGACGGTTGACAGTTACTGGTGTTGTTCCTACACTAGTTCATCCGGAAGACGCCAAATGCATGTCTAGGGGATATTTCAACTTTACTTGCGTGTAAAATCTCTCCCAAATTTCACCAATAAACCTGAATATTTAGGACATCCGACTTGAAATAATCAGTGCAATAATTATTTCAATTTTTATTGTTTGGTTTCGCTTTTTAATCGTCCATTAATTCGCCGTACCAGTAATTGCGCATATTCAAAACCTGCTTTGTCTTAACTGACAGCTTCAAAACAAATATTAAAGCTTTCTTTTTCATTATCTATAAGTCTAAGCTCAAAAATGCCTTTTGGGGAGGAACAGTGGCGGTTTGTTATCACTTTAAAGTGTGTAGTGTTTACAAATGACTTAGAATTGTCCTTACAACCAAATCTATTTGTCTTTGGAAGAGCCTAGTCAAACCAAGGCTCGTTGAATACCTGTCACCAAAGATATTTCGAAATAGCAACCGAAATTGAAAATTTAAGGTAATAGTAGTAGTAGTAAAGCAATAAAACCAAAAATTATACATAGGAATCATCGAATCAGCTAATGACAGCACAGAGACATTCTATAGTAAATTGTATTGGCTGACGAGGGAATTCTATGATGAACTTCCTACATTTGTTGCTATGGTAACGAAACAGATGAACTGTCAGCAGATTTATCTTAAGTCAATTATATAAATTATTATTAATTAGTWTTTATTCCTTTCTTTGTTCTACGTATATGCCAAGTGTTGTGTCTTAAAAGCCTATCAACGTAAGAGCAGCTTGCATAAGGAAAACTAAATATTGAAATACAGTAAGATAAAAGCAAAGGCAATGGAAAAAGCCATGGCAATCAATGTCTTGTTTTTTGACATGAGGTATTGTCTGATTATATTTATTAATTCATAAGATTTTTTTTGTGTGTGTGTGTGTGTCCAAGTTAAGAATTTTTAAAATTCTATTTATAATTGAACTTTGCATTTGGACTGCTCTAGTTTTATAGCTGAACTTAGTCGATTAATTGTTTAGCACCAAAAACTAAACCTTTAAATTTTATGAAACAACCTCTGTGCTGATTAAAGTCAGGGCACAGCTAACTCACAGATCGAACCCTGAAACAACCTCTGGGCTGATCTAAGTCATGGCATGGCTAACTCACAGAACGAACCCTGAAACAACCTCTGGGCTGATCTAAGTCATGGCATGGCTAACTCACAGAACGAACCCTGAAACAACCTCTGGGCTGATCTAAGTCAGGACAGGGCTAACTCACAGATCGAAACCTGAAACAACCTTTGGGTTGATCTAAGTCAGGGCACGGCTAACTCGCAGATCGAACCCTGAAACAACCTCTGTGCTGATCAAAGTCAGGCTAAAGCACAGACCAAATCGAAATTTTGCGGAGGTTTTGCGGAAGGAGAAAAATAAGAGAACCGAGAGAAAACCTCTCAAATCAAAAGAGACCCCTGGAAAAACTCTGCACACATGTGATGTTATAAGAAATTTAGACTTTCTATAACGTACAGGTCTATACATGTATATTGACATACATGTGATAGATGTCATAATCAGAACAAATCACGACTTAAAAATAAAAAAACAAAAAGAAGAAGAGAAGAAGAGAAATAGATATAAAAGGAAATGGGAAGTCATGCAGTCATGTTCAGGTGAAATTTTCCAGCAAATGATTTTTATCCACAATAAACTGAACTATGAAAATGCGTATCAATATTTTTTAAATTGACTTAGTTGACCTAGGGGGACAGTTAGTCATCATTTCTGTTTTTTTTTTTAATAGTTTGTCGTACAATGTATTTTGGATACATATGATATGATATAATATTAAGGAAATAAATACAATACTTTAAACAGTTGTGACTAACGCTAAATAAGATACCGGATTTGCAATTACTTGTCGGTACAAGAAGACAGCGTCTATCTTGTTCATAGAGAATCCAAAACAGCAGTCTGGTTCTAAAAATATATCGATGTCTTCAGTTGACAGGATTTTACATTCAGCACTCATGGTTTTCGTTCACTGTAGTTTTGTTCGCGAGTATGATTACAGGATTGGATATGATGAAATTGGAATAGGATATTTCTCCCTCGACTTCGACGTCCATCTTTCTACAACTTTTTCCAGGTTTAATACGGGAGGAAATCTTCGCATGTGTGTTATTAATAGCGACCTTGCTTTTTCGGCGCGCGCCTTTTTTGGAGTCCCCTTCCTTTCTTCTGGTCGCACAAGAGGTCATTGCAGTGCTTTGGGGATCTCTCGAGTAGCTCTGACTTTTCTCTAGGTCACCAGTTAGTTCCATCACTTTGTCGTTATCCTTGCTTACTTGAGAAAGACCAACACTGGCGTTCAGTTTGGCAATTCTAAAAAACTGTCGAGGTCTGTGAAGCATCTTATTGACTGTTTTTAGGTAAGCCTTACGAAAGATATCAATGCGCCAACTGTAGACGATGAAGTTCATGGATGAGTTGGAGAGGACTGCAGTTCGTATCCACATATACGTCACACCACCCAGTTCTCTAAGGACAGCTTTTCCAACAGAGATATAAAAACCAAGCAGAGGAAACCAGCACAAGGAGAAAAAAAATATTATAATCGCGATGGTTCCTGCGACTCTCTTCTCTGTGCGGGCATCCCTCGAGGCGGAGGACATGGCAGCAGCTGGGTCGTTGCTGTTCACCTTCTCACGTGTGAGCTGGTACAGAATCACGGTATAGCAGATCAAGATGAATAAGAAATTGAAGACAATCAGCGCGATAGACAACATCAATGTCGAACGGAAAGGAACGCGGATACAAACAAATACTAATGCCATCCCCCAACAAGCTATTAGCATTGTTCTCAGTCCATATTTCTTCATGATTTCCTGGTGTTTATGTGGCTTCGTCACGACCAGCGCTCTATCGATGCTGATGGCTGAGAGGTGAAAAAGCGAGCAGAACAAAGAAAAATTTACGGTAACGTCGTATGCCCAGTCCACGTTAACAACACAACAATTACGAAATGTTTTAAACGCAACAGAGGTAGCGTGTAAAGGCTGAGCACATATCGTTACAAATAAGTCCGCGAACGCTAAACTTACGAGAAGAAAGTTTGAGATCCTACGACGCAATCGATGCGTGCTGAGAACAGAAGATATAATAAGAAAATTCCCAAACGTCCCAACAAAAACTAAGGTTGAGTTGATAATAACGATGGGAATTCCGTGAACGAATGGCATGATGCATCGATCTTCATCAGCTGTGGTGTCTTGAGTCGATCCCGGAGGAGAGGTCGTGGAATTATTCCAAACATTAAAACCCGCCATGTCCAATAGCCTCGGTACGTCGAAGGTACTGGTATACAACCACCTACCGGTTGTAATTTAACAGCGGAAAGGTAAGAGTGACAAGCAATTCCTCAACCAATCAGGTGGTTTGCCTGTCAAATATTGTTTTCAGTGGAAAAAGTGGGATCGAATTCTGCTTGGATTTACTCCGGTGGAAGGAGTTAGATTAAAACCAGTTGATAACGTCAGTATTGGTCTAATTGAATGTGTTTTGGGGGGGATCACTGTTTCATTTTCCATTTTGATTTAATCTACATAAAGCATTTCGTCTTATCAACAAAATGTTATTTCTTGAGAATGGCAATTTGTTAATTAGCCAAGGTGTGAGTAAATATCTAATGTAAACTAACTTGCGCATGGATTATTAAAATGAGTGCTTACCTTTCTTCTATTTCRCTTCGTCTCCATTCATATGTGAATGCAACTTGATGTCAATTTTGAATTCTAAAATTTAAATAAGATTTCGTTTAGGCAACGAGAATTCAATAAAGGGTTAAGTTACACTGTGGTGTCTCGAGATTTATTCAGCTTTTGATAATTCTTTTGGTATTTAGAGAGCGAGTAGACGTTAAGAGAGTACTGAAAGGGTTGAGAGATTAGAGAGCCCAGGAAAAAAGATTAAATAAAAGATATAGGAAAGGTGAAAAAAAAGTAGACGGAGAGATGGAATGAAAAGAAATGAATGAATGAATGAACAAAGATGGATGGTTGCATGGATAGATGATGGAGGGAGAGAGAGAGCGAGCGAAGATAATTAATAAACAAACAATGAATGGATTGAACAGAGGATGGATGGATGGATGGATGGATGGATGGATGGATGGATGGATGGATGGATGGATGGATGGATGGATGGA